CAAGCGCGAAGAATCACGCACATAGAAACAAAAATCGTACAAAACTACCAAGTATAACCAGATATAAATTAGGTGTTTGAACCTCAGAGCTGAAAGCAAAGCTGTGCAACCCCGACATCAAAATCACTACGTCACGCAAAACAACACAAGAGAACAAGTTACATTCACTGGCTTTTATCATGCCAAGAAGTACAAGCGCGAAGAATCACGCACATAGAAACAAAAATCGTACAAAACGACCAAGTATAACCAGAGATACGGCCATTTTAACCACTAGACACATAAAAAGGCAGTCACACATCACAACTACAAGCCATCACAGCACAAACACAATGAACACCACGGCACGCTCACATCCAACGAGACACAACGTCGGATTGAGAAAACAACCAACCACAGAAGACAAAGACATCATACAAAGGACCTTACAAAAATTCAGCAAAAATACCACACAGATACAGCAGAAATCAAAGCGAAATCAGACAAAAATACAAGTCAAGCCATCAAAAGACACAACGAGGAACCGCCAAGGGAGCGACAGGTGCACACAGGGATCCCCACAGAGGGACCCCCGAGACGGTGCCTACCTACGACGAGCGCAGGCAGACACCGCCAAAGTGGCGCTGGATGTGGTCAGCGTTCATCTGATGGACCAGCGCCGCAAAGCGACCCTTCCACCGAGGAACAAAGGCCTCATCCAGCCCCGGCTGGTACACACCACGGGCCTCGGCGCAGCGGGCGAGCTGACCAAGCAGATCCACAAAGGAGGAGGCGAACCCACCGGTTGTCGTCATCGCCGCAGGGACGATCAGAGTTTTTCCATGGTTGAAACCGGTGTAGTAGTCGCGCTTCTCCTTTTCGGCTCGGCGAAGGGCAGCGCCCACCTTGATGCAGGCTTGCGAGGTGGTCGGGGGTTGGGCTGTGCGCACAGTCACGTCAATGCCCAGGTCGGGCAGAGCTGGGCCCAGAGCACCGCCGGGAAAGGGGTTGCGGCAGTGCAGGTCGATGCGGCAGCTCTGACCGTTGGCGTTGTAGCCAGACTTTTCCACCCAGACATGGGAGAGGGTGGCGTACCTGAGCAGGCGGCCCATCTCGTCGCGAAGGGCGTTGTGACGCTTGATGGGACGGCAGGTCAACAGGTGCTCGCGGGTCAGTCGCGGCTGAGGTGTCTTGCTGCTGCAGAGCGGGCACTTGTCCGTCGGCTTGACATTGATGAGTTCATGGAGGCCAAAACCCATCATGGACACGACCGCAATGGCAAAGGTCGTGTCGCTCAAGCGACGCAACTTGTCCCGACCCCGCATGGTCAAGACTGTGCTGACGCC